AATTTGCCAATCATTTATCTAGCTATATAATTTCAGGAGTACAACTTCACACATCAACATGGGCACATGTGGCTCTTACCCTCCACCAAGCTCCATGTCTACCCATACCCTTCACATTACCTCCCCTCTCACCTTCTCTCTGGCAACCATTACATTTTTCACAGAGTTTAGGTTATTTTTGTTGTATTCTGCCACTTTGTTTTCTTTGGTTATTTATATTCCACAAATGAGTGAAACCATCTGGTATTAGTCTTTCACTATCTGACTTTCTTCACTTAGCATATCTCCTCAAGATCCATGCTTTTTGTCCCAAAAAGCACTGTATGTTTTTTGATATATATTTGTATATATACATGATTTTGTTGGTCTGTCTTTATTAAGTAAATGTACATGGTCCTATGTCACGCGTTTCTCTCTTTAGCGTTAAGCGTATTTATCAGGTGTCTACTCTGTGCTGCTTGGACCTGGTTGCTGGGACTTAATTGCTTACAGAGCATATTGTCTGATGCTGTCAACATGCACACTGTTAATAAGACAAGTTACTAAAATATATAAATATCTGTAGACCAATATGATATAAATGCAGGGAAACATGGATCTCAGAAGCAGCAGCACAGGAATAATTGGGCAGCATATGATCCAGGGACTCGAGGTATAGCCTTTGAATCATATGTGAAGCTTAAATGGAGAAAAGTACTACAGAATCTTTGATAGAAAATGATCCAGTTTTTCTAAGAAGAAAATATATTTTCATGGATCATAATAAATCCCAGTTGTACTTATTATCTGTGTCACCTTAGCAAACTTTGTCCATGTCTTTGTTTTCCTGTTTATCAAATAAATACAAATAAACTTTACAAGGCATTTGAAAGAAAAGCAAAAAACAATAGAAAATGTTTACAGTAATGTGTGCATATGGTAATAATCATGTCTGCCATATATATGATAAAATTCTAAAATAAATGCTATCTCCTCCATAAATAGTGATAATTAGGATCATAAATAGTGAGAGTTAACTTTTTTGGCTGTCTACCAAAAATATGCATTACTTCTATAACAGAAAAAGAAAACTAAAAAGCAGTGGTTAAAAATCAAAGTAGAAAATAGACTTCTAATTTTTATTTTTAAAATCAGAGAAGTATTTTGTATGGGTCATAAACAGTATAAAATATATTCCTTAAAAATATCACCACTTTCATAAGTAAAATTTAGTAAATAAAACTTAGTTTGAAGGGTGGATTGTATAGAAACATCAACTTTAATTTTAATCATCTTTGAGGAAAATAACAAATTTCATTGCATTTAATAATGAAAGAAAAAATTGAAGTAATAAATGTAGAAGAAATTTAAACTTTTTTTTTTTGTGGGAACCATTTAACCAGCATTTTAGTATTAGTATTTCATCAATGATATGGAAATAATTATACTCTGAGTGGTGAACTAAACCTGTGGTACTGGGAGCTTATGAAATTCATGCTATCAAAAAAACAATGGACAGGGGAAGAAGAGCAAGGCAGGGAGAGAAAGGATTTCTTGTTTTGTCAGTGTGGTGGTGATTTTTCAACAAATAAGTGGTATACAAAGCAAATGTATTACAGATTTAAAAGTACTTAAGATGTATGTTAACAAAATGCAGTATATGGACCTTGTTTGGCTTCTGGTTCAAATAGATCAACTGTAAAAGAACAACTTTGAGACAATTCAAGGTACATGAACATGCATTAGGTTACTAGTAGGTAATAAAGAACTATTGTTAATTTTGTTAGTTTGGTGATACTATGTCACTTTTAAAAAAATGTTCATCTACAGGTTCTAAAGAGTTTTCAGGGTAAAATACAATAACTGGGAATCCCTCTCCCTCTCCTCTAGAAAACTAGGGTCTGGAGAATAGAGAAAATTTTGATGAAAGATCTAAAACATTGATAATTATTCCATGTGAACTTGGAGTTCTTCAAACGGTTGGAATTTTCCTTAGCCTAAGTTCATAATCTATATATAGAATTTCTAGTGATTGTAATATGCAAGTACAAAGTATACCCCATTCTCCAAGGCCTTCAGAGTTTATTTTGAATTCCTTAGGGGAATATCCTAGATCTCAGTTATACTTTTTAATACTATAATGTAACTTTGTTCCACCTAGCCTTGGGTACTCTTATATGCAGTGCCTTAGGCCTGATTAAAGTTACTAGTATTACTGACTGGTTGCTATTGCCTTATTTCGAAACAATATTCTTTGTCTCTGTATATACTCAACCTGTGCTTCTCTTGCTTGATAGGCAATGAAGTGTCTGATGAGGAGTGTTTGAAGAAAGTGGGCCTCAGTGGTGTCCCCGCTGATGCCTGTTCCACTGCCCAGAAGGCTGTTGGTTATATTTGCAAATCTAATGGTGGCCGTGGTGCCCTCCGAGAGTTTGCAGAGCACATTTTCCTGCTGATGGAAAAGGTTAACAATTCATGCCAAAAATAGAAATTAGTCCAATTTTGGGAAAGAAAGTATACAGCCTGTGTCAGCTGCTTTACTTTTGTTTTTGATTAAGTTCAATTCCATGTTGTAACGTTATAGAGTGTGATTTGATTTGTGATAGATCTTGATATCTTTTAATGCAAAGTCTCTCAAAAGTGTCACTCCACACTTCCTATGAAATGATTGTGCTCTACTTCTGCAAGGTAATTATTTAGAGATTGATTACAGTCATTCTCAGATTTTTAGCAAATGGAAAATAAGAATATCATCCAAATTAACTTTGTATTGTACCTTGTAAAACTGTGTCTGTGTGCTTTCAATGATGTTGAGATTTTATTTATTTCGGGACAATGTGTCTGATAGGACATACCCTTCTATTAACTAATAAAAGTACATTTCACAAACTTGATGAAAACTGCCTTGTTCCTATAGAAAACTTATCAGACATGCTTGGTTTCCTTCAAACACTGGCCATGCTATCAGCGTGAAAAAAACAAGCTATTAAATAACAAGCATAAGTCATCTCATTGTTCTTTTTGTGTGTGTAATTACATTATATTATACGAATACAGAGATCTGAAGAAATTCCTATGTTATGAGGGTGATATATTGATTGGGAGTAAAAAGTTTTCAGTTACCTCTGAGATCATGGTCATTTATGTACTAAATTTGGCTAGAGCAATTTTACAGCCACCACAAATCACTGTGCTACCTGGTTTGAGTCCAAGTATAGGGCTTTAGCTCATAAATGTGGACACTTTTCCAGATAAACACTAACCATTTCCTGTGGAACATTTACATCTACTTCCACTGCTGAAAGAATTCATGTAAAAACTCGCAAGAAGCCTTCGGGCCAAGCTGGAGTGGAAGTGGTTCTCCTCTAGCAGGACAGCTTGGATTTGTACAGTTCAGTCAGCCCTGTCGGCCTAACAGAAGTTGGAAAAGAAAAAGGACCATCTTTTGTCTTAATTTTCTTTCATCTTGTTCTGGATTTACTCCTGTCTTTCTGGCTTTTTTTTTTTTTTTTTTTTTTTTTTTGCCTCCCTGGCTTTATTTTCTCCTATCACCTTAAATTTACACATTTCCAAAGGTTCTAACTCTAGTTCTTGTTCTTCTTCAGAGATCAAATATATGTTCAAGGTGCCAGCTCCATTATACATACAGATGCCTTTGAAATCTAATGTCTGCTGTGTGTTCCGCTTGTATTTCAGACTCTTCACATTGTATGCCAGATTCCTGGACTTTTCCTCTTGTATTTCAGATTTTAATAATGAGATATCACAGCCCTCCTCAATTTTTCCTTTCCATATAGTCAGAAACCAAATCCTGAGCTTGATACTACGTGCTCAGTGTCATTAACAGTTCACCCAATACTGTTGCTAGATTATTAATTGTTCACGTGTTTGCTGTTAACCTTTCCAAATCTTAAAGTGATTCCCTGCTCACCACAGAATGTGATAAACATCTCTCAGTCCAAATATACAACCTAACATTTCCAGCTTTAGCTCCCACTGATTCTTAAGGGTTACTCCAATCCAATCCAGCTATTCTGCGTTTCTCCAACAATGCTCCTATTAGCCTATTCTTTTCAAGGCCTACTTTACCACACAAATCATTCATTTCTCAACAAAAACAAAAACAAACAAAAAAAAAAACACTTGCCAAAATACCTCCCAATACTGTGCACACTATAGATTGTATTAAACCCTGACTTCATTTCAGTGACAAGTTCAAACCCAGGTTTAAGGAGATAATCCTCCTACTTCCTGTGTTCTCAGTAGTTGAGGTTCTTAGTCACGATAATCTATGTGCTGCTCTGATGTTTAAAGAATTTAGAAGTTTCCTCCCTACAAGAAGAGAAACTAGACAAACAGAACCCATAACTTTTATTGAGTCGATTAGAGAACTGTTGTCAAAGGGAAAATAACCACCCTAAAATCTGAAAAGACATGCAAATCCAGAGACAGTCCCTGATACTTACTTACCTGGAGCAAACGTTTCTGGTTACAGTAAACTAATTGGAGCACTTGACTAATAATTTTTATGAATTGCTGGAGATAAAGTGTGGACTAATGGGAAGAGAAATTCCTAGAGACCATAGCCATGGGGGTGATCATGGGGGAACACTTCCTCTCCAGGAATGCCAACAGTTTTCTCCCAGGATTCAAGAAAAACCCCTATTTTTTTCTGTGATGACCTCTCCCCTGTTAACTGTGGAGTTTTCTCCTCTTGGTTGGAAGCCTGGAGTCGGCTGGTATGGAGTTCCCTTCTCTCAACTGGTATATATTTTCAGTACTGCTCACCATTCCTATGGGAAAGTAGGCTTTTGTATGGAGATGAATCTAAAAAGGTTTGCAGTTTTCCTTAAGTTTTGGTGGTTGTTTCAATTTTGTCTTTAAGACACTTTTTAATTTCCCAGTATTCTTTTTGGCATTGATTTTTAGTTTCATACTCATATGGTCAGAAAATTTTCTTAAATTGATTAAAGTTTGCTTTCTGGCCCAACATATGCTCTGTCCTATGGAATGTTCTGTGTGTGCCTGAGAAGAATATGCATTCTAGAACTGTTAGATGGAGTGTTCTGTATATGTTTGTTAGTCCACTTGGGTTATAGTGTTATTCAGATCTTCTGTTTCTTTAGTGGTTTTCTGTCTGGATGATCTGTCCTGGGTGACTACCAAATGGGTAAGTGAAATGATTGACAGCAATGTCACAGGGAGTGGAAGAGAACAATTTGAAGTATACTTATAAAGTGAATCAATATAGTGTTATTTGTAGGCGAACTTATGTTATTTTTAAATATAGTGTAAGCCTTAAGGCAAGCAATAAATGTTTTTTTTTAATCTAAATGATGCATCATGAGAGGAAGTAAAATGGAATCATATCAAAAAGAAAAGAGGGGAAAACAGAAAGAATAATCACAATGTATAAAAAGTAGTCACAAAGATGGTAAATTTTAATCTGCCTAAAACAATAATCACATTAAATGTGAATGATCTAGATATACCAATTAAAAGACAGAGGTCATCAGATTAAAGAGAAAAAATAGAACAAATTATATGCTGTCTATCCCAAATTTATTTTATCTACAGATTCAGAAATTCTAACAATAAAAAAATGGGGAAAAAAACACCATGTGACACTAATTAAGCAATGATATTATACTATACCAGTTATCTATTGCTATATAATGAACTGCTTTAAAATATATTTGTTTAAAACAACAACCATTTGTTTTGTTACAATGCTGTTTGGGTTAAGCCCAGCATGGTTATTCTGGTCTCACCTGGGTTTAGTCTTGTGGTTGCAGCTAGTTGGTGGCTAGAATGACTGAATGATCCATGATAGTGAAGCAGTAGAGAGCTAGCTGGCTAGGGAGCTGGCTTGCAAGAACTGGCTACAAGCTGGCTGGCAAGGGCTGGTTGTAAGCTAGCAGACTGAGGCTGGGTGCTTGAGGCTGACAGGCAAAGGCTACTAGCTGCTGACCTAGCAGGCAGAGGCTGGCAACCACAAGAGGCATGCAGAGGTACACACAGTACCCTGTGGTAGCTTCACACTTCTGGGTGGCAAGGTGGGACAATGAGGCAAAAGTGGGTAGTGGAAAAGCACCAGAATGGTGAAAGTTTCCATGAGAGATTATGAAATTAAATCTACCCCCAATAGTAACGGGCTCCTCACTTGGACCTCCTGCTTTCAGGAGTCTCTCTTGCAATAAACCTGAGCATGATTATTCCTCAATCACTTGCACACAAGATCCCAACCATTCAGCAACAATAGTTTCACTCACATGCTGTCAGGGCCTTTCTCTTCTTGCTATCTTTCAACTTTAGAGAGATTAACCTAGGCTTCTTGATATGGCAATCCCATAGCAGCAAGGTGAGTTTTTTTTTTTTTTTAAAGATTTACTTATGTATACAAACAAATGACGTAAAAACAGCTCTTACAATGGCCTAATCTCTTTACTAGCACTGAGCTGGGGTATTGCCCAGAGATGCAGGGGGTGAGAGGACTCACCAGAGACAGAGTGGGGAACAGAACAGGCAGATTGAAATACACTCCTGGAGCAGCAGGCAAGACAGGAGAGGTCTGCTGTGCCATGTGGGTAGCTCCCTGGCCAGCCAGGGATCGAACTCCTATTGCAGAGGCTGCAGATTGCTTCATAGTGCGGTGCTTAACCCCTTGCCCCATGATGGAGGCCCAAGAAGGTGAGATTTAATGTTGCAACACCTCTTGAGGGTTTCCTTAAAAGTCACATGTTTCAGCCCCAATTCTATTAGTTAATAAGTGAGGTAAAGTGCTGACCATCCAGTCCAGATGAGGGGTCAGGAAATTGATTCTACCTCCTGATGGAAGATCTACTTTTAATATAGTATATGAATTGATATAGTACATATGCATTGTCTCTTGATATGTCTCACTGATATGGAAGTTGGGGAAGCTGAAAGAAAAAGGTGTGCTTGAGGGTTTATTATTATGTATTTGTATTTTCCACTGTTGCAGTTGTGTTGCAGTTATAACCTCTCTGCCTGAACTTCCTTACTCCAATTGAAGCTAATAATAATATTCTAATTGAAGTATCACTTCATAGGACTGTGAAAAAGTAACCATCATGTTTAGAAGTGTACTTGTTTCACAAAGGGTTTCTCAATGTTGATGACAACAATGATAACTGAGTTAGCAGTCAAGACATTTAGATTGTAGCTTCAACTTTGTCATTAACTACCAAAGAGACTGGTGGCAGATTATTTAACTTCCCCAGACCAGTATATTTGACTGTGAAGTGGGGAATTTATAATAGATGACTTCTATAGCTTCTCTAACTTTAGAGTTGGAAATGCACTCAAGTTTAGCTTAGAAGAAATCTTTCCTAGAGAAGAATATACACCATATTTATGATAAATGCACATAGTTAGGGCTCTGGGGATGACTGGCTATAAAATTAAAGTGCAGAAGTCTTGTAAATTTCTTCATATCACAATATACTTGGATAAGGAATAACGCTGATGAGACTCTGTGGCTCTTTTAAGGAGAGCAGCTCTTTAAAAAAGTAATTTTACTGTGAAGACTTATTTACTTTTTTTTTTCAACATAACAATGACACATCTATCATGTCAAAGACATTGTAATAGTCCCTGAGGATAAAAAGGAAAATAAGACATAATTTCACCCCCGTGGCTGGCAGGTGAATATAGGGGAATGGGATAAGAGATTCATAAAGACGGGTAAATTAACAGACCAGATCATAAAAGTCTTGTGAGTGACATTAAAAAGTTTTTACTTTATTCTAAGAATAGGGTAGAGAGAAGTCCTTAAAGGGCTTGCGACAGGAAAAGCTTCTCAGTTGGAGGTCATAGTTGAGGTGAGCCTTAAAGATTGCAGAAAACTTGGTATCAAAAGATAAAAATAAAGAAATGGAAGACCTCCTTGGTGGTGAAGGTGGTTGAGCACAGCACTGTGAAGCTGTCCACAGCCTCTGCAGTGCGGGTTCAATCCTGGCTGGCCGCGGAGCTACCCACATGGCGTGGAGACCTCTGCTGTCTCGCCTGCTGTTCCCCTCAGCAGTGTATTTCAGTCAGTCTGCCTGTTCTGCTCCCCACTCTGTCTCTGGTGAATCCTCTCACCCTCCTGCATATCTAGCCTATACCCTGGTTCTTGTATGCATGAATGAATAAATCTTAAAAAAAACTAAAGAAATGGAGTTAATACATGTTCAGAAAATGGAAGAGGCCTACTGTGTACAAGATCTATAAGACCTAAAAGGAAATGTTGAGAAATGAGAACATCTAGGACCAAATCAGGTGTGACTTTTAAAAGAAAATTCTTGATCCCTAGGCTGGGGTGTTGTCAGCAGACAAGCCTCAACAGTCAGCCCCGTTCAGCACTTCTTCAGCTATGAGAGTTGCTTCACCCAGGATAAATCCTTTCCTGGGGCTAACCCACATCCAGTGACAGGATGGCTGGCTGGCTGGACACAGAGGACCAGGGTCCTGACCCCCTTGCAGAAGATAACACTGAGGGCCACAATAACTTCAGGGTGCTCCATGAAGACAGCTGGTACCATGAGATTATCACAGCCCCTCCCCCTCCATACAACCCCCCCTTTTTCTCTTCCCCTTGCCCAAGAGTGACACCAAGAGCACTCCCTCACTGATCAACACTAATCTCCTCTCTGAGTCTGCTTCTCAAAGTGGGGCACCAGGAAATATTTCTTGAATGAGTTAATACAGAAGAACAGGTTCTAGACCAATCTAGTATGGGAAACAGGTAATTACTGTTCCTAAATCACCCACTGTTTCCTAAGGATTTAAAGGGCCATGTGTGACTACGGTGAAGCCTCAGTAGTCCCTGTTACACCCTCCTGTTGCTAGTCTGAGGTTTGTTTACTACATACTGAGACCACTCAAATCACTTCTTCCTAGTCTAAAAGCTTGAGGAATGTCACTTGTCTGCCTGAGCTGATTGAGAAAGCTCTACTACTAAAACAGTACTAAAGAATTTGGGTTTGCCCACATTTTATTGATGATCTTTCTACTGCAGGGGCATTTCATGCTTTGTTACTGACTTGCTCTCAAATTTAAAAGATAAAGTAGATGCAATTTTAATTATTTTTACACTGAGGAAAATACTTTCTATATTTAAAGAAAAAATCACAGTGGTTAATATTTTGGCCACTGGGTGTCATCACAAATCTAGCTTTTAAAATGATGGAGTTTTAACCAGCTGATGGGAAAGTAATTAATGGAGTCCAATGAGATTTAAAAAGATCCTTTCATGGTTGAACATTCACACATTGAACATTACCATCCATTAGAAGGAAGACTTTGTAAAGTGCAATTTCAGTATTTTTTTAGTCTTCCCAACAATCACATGGAAAAAAGGTTTCTTTTACTAGTGTTTGGAGTAGACCTGGAGTGAGGAGGGAAGTGGGGTGGGAAGGGTAAAACTGAATGAGGACATGGAAACAGTTGTACTGCTGCCTTATCAGGAGACCAGAAGCAACTAAATAGAAAGACTATTTCCAAAGTTACCCACTCAGTCACCCAGTGACCTCAGGCCATAAAAATGACCTGTCTTAATTTTATTTCATCTGCTCAACCTCCATAAAGTAAGTCCTTTGGTTACAGATGGAGAAATGGAGGCACAGAGAGCTTAACAAATACCTGCAATAAGACTCTTAGGTGGCAGAGCCATGATGCAAGACAGAGAACACTCCCAAGAGTAGCAGACCTCCTCTGGTGAAGGTCTCTGCAATGTTGTCAAAGGGTGGGCATCTTTCAACCACCTTTATCATAACTGTACATGGAAATCATTATATATAATCGATGTTAAAAGATCTATTTTAGGTGCATCCCAGCGCTACTGAATCAGAACCTTTGGGGTAAGATCTGGATATCTGCTTTTGAGTAAGGTCCTGGCAGCTGACTTTCTTGCTCACTGAATTTTGAGAATCCCTGAGAGTGGCACTGAAGGCCCCTTCCCCCAGAAAGGGAAGAGAGAGAATGGACTCTGGGTGCCTGAGCTTCTCAGAAGCTTCATTAGACTCTCTGAGTACACTGGAGGCGTGCCCCTGATTACTCAGGGGACCAGCCCACCAACCCACCCTTCCTGGGACACACTCTTGTTCGCCTGTGGAGGCTCCTCTAACTCAGGGTTCTCAATCCTGCCTGCGCATCCAAGTCACTGTG